TTGCTCAGGCTGGTCTCGAACTCCTGACCTTGAGCGATCCACCCGCCTCAGCCTCCCAGAGTGCTAGGATTACAGGCGTGAGCTACCGCGCCCAGCCCAAAGTTCTTAATAAGTGTTGTCACTAATCATATATATATACCAAAAAAAAAAAATGCCCACAGTTGACTAGGGTCCATTTTTATCCAATACAGTGGCAGTTAAACAATACCTACATTGGCTGCATGCAAGCCCCCGATGCTCCCCCGTGTGTGAGGGCAGCACAGGTTTTGTGTCATTCCCTTATGAAAGGTGTCACATAGGATGGGGATGCTGGATCCTCATTTCAGAGACAAGGAAGCGGAGGTCCAGTCGGGGAAGGTGTTGCTTGAGGTTCCTCAGCCAGTAAGTGGTAAAGCTGGAGTTTGAACCCAGCTCCATGGGTTCAGTAAAGCCTGTGTTTTTGTGTTTATAAAGGGTCTGAAGATGGCAGTAAAAATGACACAGTCCCTGAACTCCAGGGGCCCTTGGTTTACTCCAGGTCAGCATAAGGAAGGCCGTGACGGGAAGTTTGAGTGACTGGGGGAACCAGGGAAAGAGGGTGAAGGGTGTTCCAGGCAGAGGGCACAGCACGTGCAAAGGCCAGGAGGCAGGAAGCAGCATGCAGAATTCAAGGAAGTGCAGTGGGTGCTGGTTGAAGAGGGCAGCGGCTCCAACAGAGGCTGGAGAGAAGAGGCCAGATCCTGAGGGGCCTTGAAGGCTGTCATTAGGACTGTGGCTTTATTGCAGGCCATTGAGGGGTTTCATGAGGGATCCGAGCAGGGAGGCACTTAGATATAACTGTGAAAAGCTCTGTCTGGCTGCCACATGGAATATGGATTGGAGGGGACAGGACTGGGTCTGGGAGCCCAGGGACCAGGAAGGAGACTCAAGGCTGGACCAGGCCAGGGGATAAAGTTGTGAAATGATTACAAGACATAATAATAGCAAATAGCCAGATAGCACTTATTTTTGTACCAGGTACTACCCTAAACTTTTTGTTAATTTGTTTTAATTTTGCTTTTGAATTTTTTTAGAAGAGCTTTGTGAGCTATAACTCACGTACCGTACAAATCACCCATTTAAATTATACAATTTGGCCGGGCGAGGTGGCTCACGCCTTTAATCCTAGCACTCTGGGAGGCCGAGATGGGAGGATCGCTTGAGGTCGGGACTTTGAAACCAGCCTGAGCAAGAACAAGACCTGGTCTCTCCAAAAAATAAAAAAAATTAGCCAGGTGTAGTAGTGTGCACCTATAGTCCATACTCCCTTGGGAGGCTGAGGTAAGAGGATCGCTTTGAGCCCATGAGTTTGAGGTTGCAGTGAGCTATAATGATGCCACTGCACTCTACCCCTGGCAACAGAGGGAGACCATGTCTCAAAAAATATATATATATGCGCACACACACTCTTCAGAGTTGTGCAAATTCCATTTATAATCAATTTAGAACATTTTCATCACCCTAAAAAGAAACCCCTAGAAGTCACTCCCCATTTTTCTGCCCA